TTAATCATACTCATGATGCTTGACGCAAAGTCTTGAGAAATCGGAGAAGGATGCCGGAGAATAAGAGCGCCGGAAAGCTGTGGTTGCCAGAAAAAACAGAAAGCTTAAAGGAGGTGAGTGCGAAAAGTGAGGACGAGAAAAAGTGGGGATTATTTATAGAGAGGGCAGAGAAACCCCAGCCCTCAGATTAAAGTCATTTTCAACGGCTAAGATGATGCACAGAATACGAAGCGATGGAGAGAGAAAGTGTCTTATCTTTTGAATTTTGAAATTTGAAAAGATCCAGACTTATCCAATCAGTTCGAAATACGATTAGGTGAACACCACTTCGCAAGTCGCAGAAATGACCGGGTACAATTTAGGGCAACGACAGGCGACAGGATATGATAAAAGACTCGAGGAAGACATTCGACCGTCCAGAACTTACTCTTAAGCTCAGAATCGCTTCGAGTAAATTTTGGGGGGGACTAGATGATATAGCCACACTGGCTCATAAGGGTCCGTATCATCACGGTTCGAAACTATCAAGTCGACTTTAACAAAGTCGACTCCGCCAGTAAGGCTCCACGATACTCACAGTCAAGGATCCCGGCTCTCGACTGAGTCGACGTACACTTGTCGACTAGCATAAGTCGATTTCTGCCAAGACGACGGTCAGACGTATCAGGATCCACTAACGGTTGAATGCGATCCAGTCGACTCGACTCGATATCTCAGGTCGACTGAAGGAGTCTTGCAGTTCGTAGTACTCGATAGCTTTGATACACCTCAGCGTATTGAGGGAGAGTTAAGGATAAGAAGGAAGCTAAGGAAGGATCTAGATGCTGACTAGGAAGTAGGCAGAATACGAACCGACCAGGGTATTCTGGACATTTCCAGTAAGACGGTCGGGGCACTTTGGGGACTTCAGGTAAATTTTGCACTTCTATATACAGGACTGAGGTAATCCCAAAACCCTAACTCCCATTCATTCCATATTCTTTTCATTACTGCTGCTGCTCTCAGAGTAGCTCTCTTCTTCTCTTTCATATACTGACTTGAGCGTCGGAGGCTCTACGCCGAAAATCCCTCCGGCGTTGAGTTCTTGCAGGTGTTCTTGTGGTTCGATAGCAATTTGGAGACCATCAGGACAGATCTGAGCTCGTTCTCATCGGTTCATTCCAGATCCGGGCGATTTTCCACCGGTTCACCCCAGATCCGGAAATAGACCCATCAGTCGTAGCTCCATATCTTGTTGAGTTGAGTTGGTTGTGGCCGCTTGCAAGATCCATACCCAAACAGCTCTCGAATCGCCTCATGTCAGCCCGGAAGCTCTCGATCAAGTCTGGTGCAGCCCCGTTTTCAGCTCCCGATGAGCCCCGCTTCAGCCCCGAACAGCCCTTGAACAACCACAGTTCAGCCTTGCTATAACCCAGTAGCTTTCGAACAGCCCCGAACAGCTCTCCAACATGCTCGTGTCGGTCCCGAACAGCCCCGAACGGCCTCGGTTCAGCCCGGCAGCTTCCGAACAGCTCTCCAACACGCTCTTTCGGTCCCGAACAGCCCTTGAACAGCCTCGGTTCAGCCAGGACAGCCCTCAAACGGCTTCGGTTCAGCTCGGACAGGTCCCGGATGACCACGTCTCAGCCCGGACAGCTCCCGTACAACTTTTTTTTTTAGTCGGGCAGCGACTGGAGAGCGTCATTTCAGTCTGAACCACCTCGTTTGAACTTGGACAGATCCTGGACGACTCCCTTTTGTCCCGAACAGCCTCGATAGCCATACGAGAACCCGAACGTGCATAAAAAAAGGGAGAAAAACAAAAAAAATTATACATGTTGGTTAACTCCTCGTGGGTGATAACAGAGGCTAAAGGACTCCCTTTTATAGGAGAGAACTTGTGTAATTTTGGAATTTTTCTCTCCTGATATCAAGAGGAATTGGCCTGGGCGCTTGGCTTGCCGAATTTTTTTGAAGTTTGAAAGATAATATTTTGATGATGAGGCTTAGTCTGTTGAGTTCTGGAAAGTAAATATTCCAACTTGAGTTTGGAATTAATTTGCCCATGCGTGTATATTTTTTTGGTGGAAAATGCATATGCGTGGATTCTGTGGTTTAAGTTAATTATTTGTTGCTACATTTAAAAGAAGTTGAGATTTGCATGGGTTATAAATCGGTCTGTGCATGTGTATTTGGGATTGAATTAAAAGATGTGAGTTATTTGCTTGGACTAAGTGGGCTACGGAAATTTCTTTTTGGGCCATCCGCTAATTTCTTTAATTATAGGGAAAATGGGCTTGAAATTGGAAAAGTGTTTATGTGTTTGGATAAAACACTAAGACCCACTATTTGTCCAACTTGTAAGACACAAGTATGTTAACGGATTTTAAATTTTGAAGCCCGAAATTCCAGTCTCATGATTTGTCTCAAGTAGCTTGGATGATTGGGCCTGCCACATGATGTAAGAAAGTCGCGACTTATTCACTTCAAGACATGTCGTCCGTGAACAAGTCTCGAGGGGGCATTTGTAGAGACATAAAATTTGTGTCCAATCAAATGGCGCTACATGGAAATTAATTTATTAAAAATCAAGTCATATTTTCTATTTATATTTTAGGAATTTTCATATATTTAATTCCTAAATTTAAATAGTTAATTAATTGATATTTTAATATTTTAATTCTTGACCAATCAAATAATGCCAAGTGTCAAATCTTATTCTTGGTAAATAAATCATATCTTCTAGAAGATCATGGAAGATTTAAGTGGATCTAGAAGATCTTGGGAGATCTAAGTAGATCTTAAAGATCTTATGTGAATCATCATGGACCAATCAAATCGCGTCCTACGATTCTTAAATTTGGTAGGGTGCTCTCTCCTACACCTATAAATAGAGGCTCTCCCTAATGTAAAAAAACACATCTCATAATTCATATTCAAGTTCAAGAGCTCTAGAGAATTCTCTCTACAAGTTTCAAGTGTTCTTGAAGATTCGAAGCCGTTCTTGAAGATTCGAAGGAAGATTCAAGCACATTCAAGCTCAAAACCGACGTTTAATCCGGAAACAAGCTGTCAAGCCTCCGAATTGCGTTCATATTCAAGTTCAAGTTCAAGATCTCTCGACGAGATTCAAGTGTTCTTGAAGATTCGAAGCCGTTCTTGAAGATTCGAAGAAAGATTCAAGCACATTCAAGCTCAAAACCGACGTTTAATCCAGAAACAAGCTGTCAAGCCTCTGAATTGCGTTCATATTCAAGTTCAAGTTCAAGATCTCTCGACGAGATTCAAGTGTTCTTGAAGATTCAAAGGCGTTCTTAAAGATTCAAATCAAGATTCAAGCGCGTTCAACCTCAAGACTAGCGTTCGATCCAAAAACAAGCTGCGAAGCCTCCGAATAACGTTAGTAAATTCAAAACCGGCGTGAAGAAGATTCGAGATCTACTTTGCGGCGAAGACCAAGGATTCGTGTTCTTCGCGTTCTTGGGATATTTTGACGTTTGATCCGGGAAAAAGCTTTCAAGCCCTCGGATTACGTTAATTCAAGTCAAATCAAGTCAAGGATAAGATCAAGCCGAAGATTTCGCTCCAAAACTTAAAATATTGTTTTTGAGAAGAATCAGAGGAAAATAGAGATTGTAACCTGCAATATATTATTTTGATTCAAGAATTTCATTTGAATAATATTTTTCGTGTTTTTAAATTCAATTCACGAAATTTGTTGTTACAGTTACCATTATTATCAAGAGTCTGCCATAAAAATTCAGAATCAATGATCTAACATTTTACATTTAGCCATATTCGTTGTTACTCTAAAGATTTTCTAACACTATTTTAACTTTTTTCAAAACTGTAAAAATTTTCTAACACTATTGTTACTGTAAAGATTTTCCTACCTGTGTTTCCAAGTCAATGTCAGATGGAGTGGTTCGTTTTGCATAAATACTACATTCCCATGGTCCAATTTACAAAACCAGACAAATATCAAACATCAATTATAAGTTAAAGACAGAAAAATTCTATAATCATTTTTATACAAAACCTATGAATTAATATCCTAAATTAAAAGTTCGACTCGTATTTGAAACTCAAAATAGAGGAAGAAACATACATATGTTTTAAAACAACACCAGAAATCCAGAATGGCAATCAAATGAGTAATGACATAAACTCAATAAACCAATCAAATCCCCTCCAATTCTCAAACAAATAATTACCTTTCTCGGGCTGTTTCTGTGTATGTTAGGGTGCACTCCTCAGTAAGCCCGCAGCAATAGCACCTCGCTTACTCCACCTCGATTTGGCCCGACATCATACTCACATGCCCGTTAACAGGAGGCACGTCAGGCCCAGGGTCTATAACCATAGCATCACTTACTACAATCGACATCCCTAAACCCATAACACAAACAAATCACAATAAAATCAAAGAGTCTTGACAAAAAAATCAACCAGAACACAAAAAAAAAATGAACTAATTTAAAAAGAAAATGAAAAATTAGCAACTGAAGAAGATCAAAATCGACTTGATAGCACCACCAGCCCCTCCAATGTAATCCTTACCAACAGCGGCCGCATCGAGCCACCGGTCGTCCGCCTCACAAACGACTAGAACCAGTTCTCGAACGGCTGCGCCTTCTACCCCACTTGGATCCCCTTTAAACCCTTGCCCGACTCCACCAACGTGCAGCGATGTTTACGGCCCACTTCGTCTTTATGATCCTTCCCGACAAAGCCACAAGACCGGGCTTCAGCCTTGCCTTGAGAAGAGAGAAATGGAGTAGTATGGTGATTTTTTTTAGCACAAAAAGGAACTAATTTCTTGCTTTGAAAATCAGTACATAACTTTATCATCCCTAACATAAAATTTCAGTAGCAACATTGCTAGCCACAACATAAGAGCACAACACGAACTCCCAATTTCAAACCTCAACCACTAAATTAGTAGTCCAAATTAGGCATTTTCATCTTCTCGAAACATTCTATAGTTTATTATTAAATAAAGAGAGACAGACCTAGCAATATCAGATAGCCTTGAGCAGATCCTCGGCGCTGCTAATACTGAAATCCCCTCCTTGCTCCAGATTCAGGACCTTCACGACTCCATCCTCAATATATATGGCGTACCTCTTCGATCGAACCCCCAAGCCCGCCGACTTGTCGCTTAAATCGAGTTGGCACCCAATCGCCCGAGTGAATCGTCCATTGCTGTCGCTCAACAGAAGCACCTCGTCCCCGATCTTCAGATCCGCCTTCCATGCCTTCATGACGAAGCCGTTGTTCACGGAAACACACGCGATGGAGTAGATTACCTTGGCCTTGAACTCGGCGGCCTTCTCCACGAACCCAGGGAGGTGCTTCTGTGAGCATTTGGGACGGTGTTCGGACGTGGGGGTTCAGTTGTGAAGAGTGGAGGGGGTACGGTGTTGCCTTGCCGTGAAGATAATTTTTTTAAGATGAAATGGAATTCAATTTTTTTGGACCGTGTCTCGGTTTTTTCAGATCTGAAAAATGAAAAATGAAAGTGAATTGAATTGGGGGGAGAGAAAAATAGTTTAGAGGTAAAGGGTATTTTAGTAATAGCTCATGTTAAAATGGCTAATAAGAATGTTTTTAACAAAACATGACTAAAATTTGTGTTTTGTAAATCTTTATGGCTATTTAATGGTATTAACACTATTTAACACGCCTCTTCAATGTCGCTGTTTACATATAAACCCTTGAACATGAAAGGAAGTTTTACATTAATGGCAGTGAGATCCATGAAAAACGCCGTTAATGTTTTTAAAACCAATATTAAAACCACTTTTCATCTAAAAGTTAATGTTGTTATGAGTCCATATTGAACCACAATCACTTTTAATATATAATTTTAAATATATTAATGTTGTCGGGATAAGTTCGATATCAAGATCCCAAACCAAATAGAAAGATGTAGAATATAAATTGTTGGAAAAAGTTGTCAATGAATTTGTAACTGAACAAGTGTTTTGAAACGTGTATTCTACTTTTAAGACAAAACTAGTGTGGTATCCGTGCGATGCACGAGCTAGTTTTATTAAGGTAAGCAGTTAAATTTGGATGATTGGAAGAACGTAAAATACATATATTGAAATGAAACACAATGTAACGTTATATATTATTAAACACATCATTGTACACAAAATTATTTGTTTGGTCTTTTGGTACATCGTTTATCGCCACAAATTATATTAAAATTGTAGATAGTCTTAAATAAATCGATTAAATTATTTAGCAGAATATATACGATATTTTGTAAGTGAATGAAATCATTATTTATTTTGTAAGTGTACAATCAATTTCAAATCTGTATTCTAGATAATTAAACAAAACTCAATTTTTTAGGATGTTACAATCCAATTTCATTTTGAATTTCAAATTAATATTATATGACTTTGTTTTATGTTTAAAAAAATTCGAATTAAAGAAAGTAGTAATCAAATGATAAAAGATTTTTAGTTTTTAATTTGAAATTTGGCCCGATTTTTATGTAATCCGATTTTTTTTAATAAACATGATTTGCTACAATTAGGTAAAGATACATGTTATAGTATTTTGTCTAATTCAAAATTCTCGATTGTATGGTAAACATATTTTTTTAATAAAAAATGAAAGAATTTTGACTTTTACAAAATTGTCATGCCGACTATGCAATCCTATTTTTATAATAAATAATTAATTTATTGCAATTAGTAAAAGATATATGTGATAGTATTTTGCCTAATTCGAAATTCTTGATTTTATTTTAATCAGTTTTTTTAATAAAAATAGAGAAAGAAAATTGACTTCTGCATCAGTCGAAATTTACCTAAACTAAATCCACAAAATATATAAATTTAGGGTGCATATTAAAAAAAATAAAATTGTTGTACTATTTCAAGATTAAATCAACCGTAATTAGTTTTAATTAAAATATAATAGTTTCCAAACAAAACACTCTAGTTAGCCAAAAATTTATGGTAAGTAATATTGTTTCTTTATGGTAACACGATTTTTTGAAAGAAAAATAACAAATATCATAATTTTAGGGTAGCGTTTAATGCTGATTCTTTAGAAAAAAAATAAATAAAAAAGAAGTTACTAAGTATGAAATGTAATTAATGCTAATTAAGATTTGACCAGAATTTGACCTACTATTTTTAAAAAATGGTAATTCTTTATATATATATATATATATATATATATATATATATTTGTAACTTGGTTTTGTAAATGTTTCATTTAACTTAAATTTATTAAGTTTGTAATAAATGGTTTAATTAATGAAGTGACTTGTCTTATGACTATATAAGACTTGTCTTAATGTGAAGAAAAGAATATATGAAACCAAGTAAAGAAAAACACAACTAAAAGCTTTCCCCACCATTTCTCTTAAGTGTTTTGGTCCAGACATAGTTCCAATTTACCGAATTTGATTCGGTTTTTCCGTTGTATCCTGGGAAACATACGCTCATACGGAGCGAATCTGTTTTAAGGACATTGTGTTCTCACAGGCCTCAGTATTTATTATATAGCCATCTTATTTTTTTTCCCGTTGAAAGTTCCCTACAATCTTAAAACAGATTCCGATTAAAGATGGCTGTTGAACAAAATACTATTGTGTTGCTAATACCGGTGCTGCTACTGCAATTTCTATCTCTCCTTCTATTCCGGTAAATCATGTTGATAAATCGGAAAAATTTAATGGTTTGAATTTCAAGCGCTGGCAGCAAAAGATGTTGTTTTATCTCACTACGTTGAACCTTGCGACGTTCCTGACGGAAAATCCACCAAAGTTGGGGGGAAAATTCGGATGTTCAAGCGGTTAGTGTGCTTGAAGCATGGAATCACTCGGATTTCTTATGTAGAAATTATGTGATGAACTGTTTGGCTGATACACTGTACAACGTGTACAGCTCTATCAAAACAACAAAAGAGTTGTGGGAGTCTTTGGATAAAAAATATAAAACCAAAGACGCTGGGGCCAAGAAATTTCTTGTAGGTCGGTTTCTGGACTACAAGATGGTTGACTCGAAGACTGTAATTAGTCATGTGCAAGAGCTTCAAATAATCTTGCATGATATCCATTCTGAGGGAATGGTGGTGAATGAAACTTTCCAGGTGGCTGCCATAATTGCAAAGCTTCCATCGACTTGAAAGATTTTAAAAATTATTATTGCATAAGAAAAAATAAACGACTGTTGAAGAGCTCGTTGTTAGACTTCGAATTTAAGAAGACAACAAATTGGTTAATCCTTATTTGACTAAGGCCAATGTTGTTGAGCATGGTGAAAGCTCACGAAAAAATAATAAGAAAAAATACTGGCAAGGCAGTATTGGGGCCAAACAAACAAATTTTCAAGACAAAATTTTCTAAAAATTGTTATAATTGTAATAAATCTGACCATAAGGCATCTGAATGCAGGTTGTCAAAGAAAAATCAAGAAGTCCACATGGTGGAAAACTTGGCCAAAGAGGTTGATGAGATGCATCTCGCTGCAGTTATATCCAAGGTGAATCTGGTGGGCTCAAATCCACATGAATGGTGGATTGACACAGGTGCTACCTGTCATGTTTGCTCAAACAAGGAATTGTTTAATGTCCTTGACGAGACTGTGGATGGAGAAAAGCTCTTCATGGGAAATTCTGCCACATCTGACATCAAAGAAGTGGGAAAAGTGGTACTGAAGATGGCTGATTCTTAATAATGTCCTTTATGTACCAGAAATTCGCAAGAACCTGGTGTCTGGTTCTTTGTTGATCAAACGTGATTTTCGTTAGTGTTTGAATCTGATAAGGTCATTTTGACTAAAAATGGAGCATTTGTAGGGAAGGGTTATGGATGTAATGGGCTTTTCAAGCTCAATGTGATGACAGTTAATAAAAATGTTAATTCTTCCGTTTATATGTTGTTTATTGTGTTTTTGTCGTTATTTTCATGTGTTTTGTGTGCTTTATTATAAAGTTTTAGGCTCATTTTAATGTCGACCGGTCCATTTTATCGTGTTTTGTATATTTTTTATATTGTATAGTGTTTTCGTATTTTTGCGCGTTTTCTCTTTTGTTTTGGTGTTGAATAGGTCCAATGTGTCGAGAACGAGGAGACGAGCCGTCTGAGCCGACCGAGCCGACCGATCCGTCCTACCCAGAAAATCCGACCAAGCTATACCGAGACGAAGAGAATTCAATAAGGAGAATTTTGGTCTAAGTTTCGTGCAAATCGGAGTTGTGTGCGAAAAGTTAGAGCGAAACGAAGTCACACATGCCCGCACGCAAAGCCTAGCCCGCTGCCCGCGAATTCCGTCTCGCGCCCGCGAAAGGAAGCTAACCTGCGAGTTCTGCCAGCTTGCCCGCGAGTCTTCAAAACCGCGCCCGCAAAATGCTCACAGCCCGCTAGTCCGCCCAGCAAGCCACGCCTGCAGCCTGCGAGTTTCGTCCTCCGCGTGCGCGCGAATTTCCCCGCGACCTCGCGAGTTCCACCACACCCCCTGCCTGTCCGCGAGTTCTGCCCCTTGTGCCCACGAATCCGCTTGCGAGCTTGCGAGTACCATTCCCAGCGCGTCCGCGCACGCGAATTCCCCTGCAACGTCGCGATTTCGTGCCCTGCGCCCGCGCCCGTGCGCGCCCGCGCGCCCCGTGCTGCCAATGCCCAAGCCACACTCTCGACCTCGCGAATTTCATGGAGACCTCGCGAGTTTCTTATTAAATGTGTGTGTTTTTAGTATGTGTTTGTGGTGTAGCTATATATGGACATTGTGCTTTGTATTTTTGGAGACAACCCTCATTTCCCAACTTTTAAGTTGGGGAAATCCTCTCTATTTTCTTTTACTCTTTTTTTATGTTTTGGTTTGGAGCTTATGAATCAAGTTTTTCAGCGAATTTCCGGCGACATTATTTAGAGTAAAGTTTCGAGCTTTTGACTCCGTTTCTCCTTCCAAGTGTGTGTAAGAGTGGGTACTTAGTCTTAAGCCTCATTACTTCGTATATCTTTGTTTGCTTTTGTGAAAATTGATATTGTGCTTGAGTTGCTTGGAGGAAAAGATTGAATCTTTGGATCGTGAATGCTTGACTAAGTGTGACTAGGAGTTAAATGCTTGCTCGTTTGTGCTAGAGTTTGGTTTAGCTACCTAGGGTTTTAGCTAGCATGTCAATGTTCGGTTATTTGTGTGCATTTGATCATAGACTCCGGCGAACCAAAATCCCTCTTTTCCCCGTGATTTCTCTCATCTTCTTGCGTGCTTAGTTAATTGCTTTCAATTGCTCTCATTTCGTAGATTAATCTAGTTTTCAAACCCTCAAATTGTGAGTAGAATGTTTAGGACCTTTTCGGTTGTGTGATTTGGCGACTAGATAGTGAACGAAGCTCCGAAGAGCCTTCCTTTGAGAACGACCCGAGGCCGGGTAACTCGGTTGCCAATACCCAAAAATACTACTAAACATATGCTTGAGTCTTCCATTGTGTGGCATGGTAGACTGGGACATGTCAATTATAATACCCTCCGTAGGTTAATAAAATCGAAAAACATACCTATGTTCCATATTGATTCAAACCATAAGTGTGAAACTTGTGTTGAAGCAAAATAGACACGATTACCGTTTCAAACTATTGAAAGAAATAGTGAACCACTTGATTTAATTCACACTGATGTATGTGATTTAAAAGTTGTCATGACATGTGGTGGAAATAAATATTTCATCACTTTTGTAGATGATAGCACTATATTTTGTTATGTGTATCCTCTCAAAAGTAAGGATGAAGCTATAGATAAATTTATTCTCTATAAAAATGAAGTTGAAAATCAGTTAATAAAAAGATTAAGGTGATAAGAAGTGATGTCACCTTTTGCTGAATTCTGTGCCCAACATGGGATAAGACATGAAATGACAACACCTTGTTCACCGCAACAAAATGGGATTGCGGAAAGAAAAATCGTACTTTGAAAGAAATGATGAATTCTATGTTGCTAAGTTCTGGATTTTCGTAGAACATGTGGGGAGAAGCTGTATTGTCAGCAAATTACCTTTTAAATAAGGTTCCCTGTAAAAAGATAGACAAAAGCCCATATGAATTATGGCATGGAAGACCACCATCATACAAATACTTGCGAGTGTGGGGGTGTCTGGCAAAGGTAGCAATACCTACGCCAAAGAAAATAAAGAATGGACCGAAAACTGTTGACTGCATATTTATTGGATATGCACACAACAGTAATGCTTATCGGTTTCTTGTACATGAATCTAAAATTGAAGAAATTCATAAGAACACGATACTTGAATCTAGAAATGCATAATTTTTTGAGCATATATTTGCACGTAAGAAGAAGCTTGGAAATAATGGAAAAAGATCAAGATGGATATGCTGAGGTATAACCTAGGAAAAGTAAAAGGGGCAGGATAGAAAATCGTTTGGTCCAGATTTTCTAACTTATATGGTTGAAAGTGAACCACGAACTTTTTTAGAAGCAGTAAATTCATCTGAAGGACCTCTTTGGAAAGAGGCAATCTAAAGTAAAATTGATTCCATTTTGCAAAATCACACATGGGAGCTAGTGGATCTTCCTCCTGGAAGTAAACCATTGGGCTACAGGTGGATTTTTAAAAGGAAAATGAAACCTGGTGGAACAATTGATAAATATAAGGCTAGACTTGTGATTAAAGGTTATAAGCGAAAAGAAGACCTTGATTACTTTGATACTTATTCTCCAGTGACTAGGATAACATCCATCGGGGTGATTGTTGCAATTGCAGCTTTACGAAACCTTAAAATACATCAAATGGATGTAAAAACAACTTTTCTAAATGGAGATTTAGAAGAAGAGATTTATATGGAGCAACCTGAAGGGTTCTCTGCTTCCGGGCAAGAGAATAAAGTTTGTAAACTGGTTAAGTCTTTGTATGGCTTAAAACAAGCTCCAAGACAATGGCATGAGAAGTTTGATAATGTCATGATTCAATGTGGATTTAAAATTTATGAATGTGATAAATGTGTTTATGTTAAAGACACGGAAATGGGTTATGTAATCCTATGTCTTTACGTAGATGACATGCTCATTGTTGGAAGCAATGATAAAATTTTTAAATCCACAAAAGATATGTTAAATTCTAGATTTGACATGAAAGATATGGGTCTAGCTGATGTGATTCTTGGAATTAAAATTCACAAAACATTACAAGGAATTGTTCTGAGTCAGACACATTATGTGGAGAAAATCCTTGAAAAATTTAATAAGGATGATTCGACTCAGGCTAGGACCCCGATAGATACGAGTCAACATCTGTTGAAAAATAAAGAAGAAAGTGTTTCTCAAGTCGAATATCCAAGGGTGATAGGGAGTCTGATGTATCTAATGAATTGTAATAGACCAGACATCGCCTTTGTTGTGAGTAAACTGAGTATATATACAAGTAATCCAGGAGATGAATACTGGAAAGGAATTGTGAGATTACTCAGATACTTGAGATATACTTGTAAATATGGTTTGCACTATTGTATATATTCAACTGTTATTGAAGGCTATAGTGATGCCAACTGGGTATCTGATATGAAAGATTCTAAATCCACTAGTGGATATTTATTCACTTTGGAAGGTGCAGCCATATCATGGAAATCTTCTAAGCAGAGTGTTATTGCCAGATCCATAATGGAGTCCGAATTTATAGCATTGGACAAAATGAGAGAAGAGACAGAGTGGCTTCTCCATTTCTTAGAAAATATTCCAAGATGGTGAAAGCTAGTGCCACCCATTTGTATATATTGTGATAGTCAATCGGCTATAGGCAGGGCACAAAGTAACTATGTATAATGGTAAGTCAAGACATATTCGTCGAAAACATAATACCATTAGACACCTACTTTCAACTGGTACTATATCTATTGACTATGTGAAGTCAAAAGATAATCTTGCGGATCCGGTAACCAAAGGGTTAAATAGAGAGTTGGTTACTAAATCTTTGCAAGAAATGGGACTTAAGCCTCTAGAAATGAGTTGATACAATGGAAACCCTACCTTGTTGACTGGAGATCCCAAGATCTTGTTTCAAAGGGACAACCTAATTGTAAAAAGACTCTTGTGATCACTGTGGGATATTATCCATTGTCCATTCCTTAAACAGTGATACCCGTGGTGAGTAGGATAAGCATTTGGTTTTTAATGATTCTTGTATGGGAAGGTAGTACGAGCTACTTATAATTAAGAATCACCTATGTGAGAGAGAAGTGGGGCCGCTTTCTAGAGAATTGTGTGAGGCTCAATTCTTAGACCCTCTTACAGAACCAGACTATGTCCAAGGCCACTAATGAACATAATAATAAGAACTGGAATATGTTAGGGAGAATCCTGTGTGAAGTATATTCATTGTTTACACAAAAGGCAGAACAGTTCAAAGACATCGCGTCTACTGGTCAGCTAGTAAAGTTAATGTGCCTTCACAAGGGAAGGTTCAAAGGGTAACACCTACCTATCCTATGCAGGTTACAATTGTTGGACCATAACATTATTTTTCAATATAATTCATGTGGGGGATTGTTGGAAAAAGTTGTGAATGAATTTGTAACTGAAGAAGTGTTTTGAAACGTGTCTTCCACTTTTAATACAAAACTTGTAACTTGGTTTTGTAAATGTTTCATTTAACTTAAATTTATTAAGTTTGTAATAAATGGTTTAATTAATAAAGTGACTTGTCTTATGACTATATAAGACTTGTCTTATTGTGAAGAAAAGAATATACGAAACCAAGAAAAGAAAAACACAAAAAACACAACTAAAAGCTTTCCCCATTATTTCTTTTAAGTGTTTTGGTCAGGCATAGTTCCAGTTCGCCGAATTTGATTCGGTTTTTCCGTTGTATCCTGGGAAATAGACGCTCATACGGGGCGAATTTATCTTAAGGACATTGTGTTCTCACAGGCCTCGATATTTATTATATAGCCATCTTGTTTTCTTTTTCCCGTTAAAAGTTCCCTACATAAGTAACTAATTTTGGTAACGAATTATGTGATGAGCATTTGTTTCACAAGATACAACGACAAAAACGAATCCAAACTGATGAACTAGATTTATTTCTTGACCAAAACACTATTAAAGAAAAACAGAAAAAAACTCTAAGAATTCTTGTGTTTTTTATTTTTTTTTCCTTCCAGGAAAACAACTCTTCATATAGGTCTAAGATAAGCTAAATTAATTAAATTATACAGTTGAAACAAATAAATGTTAAACTTTTTTCCAACATTAAAAAACAAGTACAAGTTTTAAAGGTAGAAGACACAAAGTTCCAAAATTCAATCTTTCTCCTACTAATTTATTTTTTTTCCCGAAACGATAGAGATTGTATTACTAAGCTCAAAGCGAAAAGGTCCAGAGTACAAACAAAAACCAACAACTGGAAATTACAAACTGAGAGGCACATACAAGATGGCTTAAAACCTCAACTAGGAAACCGAGAAAGAAAAGAAAGAAAAGAAATTTAACACCCGACACTGCTACAAAGCCTAGCAAGATGAAAAACTTCCAAACAAAAAAGCAAAGCAAAGGAAAACAGCCAAAACATCAAACTAAAAAACCAACTACAACAGCAAATTAAGCCACAGCTACAAGGAATTCTTGCCAGTCACCAAATGAGCTGCAATGATCAATCTATGAGCTGAAATGAGGGTCTTTTGAAAAATCCAGAGATTTCTCGAC